CTTGCGTGCTTGTTTGGTTTAGAGCCCCGAGGGCTCGAGTGAGTTTTGGATAGGCCACGGAGGGAATTTGGACTTAGGAAGATTGATGGTATGTTGCAGTTGTGTTGCAGGCCCCTGATCTCGCAATTGCGAGATCAGGCATCACAATTGCGATGTACTCAGGGATCGCAAATGCGAGCTTTTGCTTCACAAATGCGAAGACCTCAGGGCCTGCCTTCTTCAAAAATGCGAGATGTTCTTCGCAAATGCCAAGTTCTCAGAAATCCCCAGAAGTCGCAAATGCGATGTTTTCCTTCGCAATTGCGAAAATGGCAGAAATTCCCAGGGTTCGCAATTGCGAACCCCTGGTCGCAATTGCGACATCTGAGACCTGTTAAGTGGAATTTTTGACGTGATTCTTCTTCATTTTACAACTTTCTCAAACCTAAAAATCACATAGGCGGTTTTCTTGAAGAGAGTTCTTCCCCAAATCATAGGTAAATGATTTCTAACTTATTTTCTTCATTCTACAACATCTTTTTACATGATTTCACTTCAAAATCTAGGGGTTTTCATGGGAAATTGGGTGTTTTTGGGTAGAAGTTAGGATTTTCAAATTTTGGGGATTTGGACCTCAATTTGAGGTCCGATTTCAAAAGTAATTGTATATTTGAGTTGTGAGTGAATGGGTGATCGGGTTTTGATTCGAACTTCGGGTTTTGACCAAGCGGGTTCGGGGTCGGGTTTTGGCTTTTTGCGAAAATCATTGGGAAATCTATTTTATGTATTAGATTTGGTTTATTTAGCATTTATTGATGTTATTAAGTAAATTATGACTAGCACGCGAATTGGAAGTGGAACCGAGAGGTAAAGCGGTTGTTGAGGCTTAATCTTGTCCGCGGAATCGAGGTAAGTGTTTGGCTTAACCTTAGCTTGAGGGAATAAGAGTTGTGATCTTATTTGCTATGTGTTAGTATGAGTAAGATGTATAGGTGTGGTGACGAGTATCTATACGTTGGTGTCAAGCATGCCCGTGAGTCTTATACCATGATTGTTGTGACTCTACTATGTATCGATCATGCTCAAATTGATGATTATTAATGTTGAACAAATATTATGAAAATTTCTTTATAATTGACTATTGTTGAGTATTGGTAAGTTGAGTTTCATTTTGTAAAGTAATTGTTGAAATCGAGATTGGTTATAGTTGAATCCCTTGCCGGGATGTTATTGTTGATATTGTTGATTCCCTTGCCGGGATATTATTGTCGATATTGTTGATTCCCTTTCCAGGATATTATTGTTGATATTGTTGATTCCTTTGCCAGGACGTATTGTTTCTGTTTTTTGGGTGAGGAAGAGTGTAAAGCACGAAGGGTGACGCCGTGCATGATATTGTGAGTGAGTGTATGCACGAAGGGTGATGTCGTGCCGATATTATGAATGTTAATGCACGAAAGGTGATGCCATGCCATGATTTGAGACTTAATGCATGAAGGGTGATACCATGCCGATATTGTAAGGAATAATGCACGAAGGGTGATGTCGTGCCATGAATATGAGAGGTAATGCACGAAGGGTGATGTCGTGTCGTTTCTGTTGATTCATATGGTGAGGACGAGAGTAAAAGCACGAAGAGTGATGCCGTTCACGTGCTACCATTTCATTATTCTTGTTGATTTAGATATGATATTCATTATGCTTCCTTATTGATGCTTCCTTATTGGTTTATTGTTAGAATCTTATATTCCCCACAGCATGTCCCCTTCCCACCTTATTATGTTGATTTTTGTTATTATGCTTCTGTTTGTATATGATTTATCTGCACAGGTATATATGATTGTTATGTCCTAGTCTCGTCACTACTTTGCCGAGGTTAGGCTCGCCACTTACTCAGTACATAGGGTCGGTTGTACTGATGCTACACTTTGCACTCTTTTGTGCAAATTTCGGTAGCGGACCCAGTGAGTAGCTGAGGTAGCTACCTTCAATCCAGGGAAACCTAGGTAGATCTGCTGGCGTCCGCAGAGCCTAAAGTCCCCCTTCCCTGTTTAGCTTTTCTACTGTCTCTTTTCATTCTGAGAACAGTTGTACTTTTCTTTCCAGACTTGTATTTGTAGTAAAAATCTTAGTCGTTCGTGAATTTGTGACGCTAGATTCGTGGGTAGACATGTTTGGAGTATTTGGATTTATTTTAACTCTTCCGCTTTTTTCATTTGTTTAGCTATGGTTACTGTTTATAATTATTCAGGTTGATTGTTAATGTGTAGAACCTTAATAGTTGGCTTGCCTAGCTTTCACGAGTAGGCGCCATCACGGCTCCCGTGGGCGGGGGTCGTGACATATATTGTAATAGCAAGGCTTCCCTCCAGATTGCAGGCGATCCTATCTTCCACGAACATACCAAACATATTGAGATCGATTGCCATTTTGTGCAAGACAAGATCAAACAAGGTGTACTTAGCACACAGTCTGTGGGAACTTCTCACTAAAGGCGTTGAGTAGTCTCAACGTGCATTTCTATTAGGCAAGCTTGGAATGCTTAACATCTTGCACCCTCCAGCTTGAGGGAGAGTGTGAGATATTGCAATTTTGTTAGTTAGCAGATGAGTTAGTTAGTCGGTTATAGTTGTGGGGCAAATTAGTTAAGTAATTAGTTAAGTTAGTACAGAATTGAGTTGTATATATAAAGTTAATCTTCATTCATTACAATAAAGATAATTTCATTTTGCTATGCAATTCCTTTCTTCTCTCTAAAGCTCATCTCCTCTATTCTCAAACATAGCCACAAGTTGCTTGGATGAATCTGGAAATTGAGCTCAGATTCACCAAGCTCACATCTTTCTCGTCTTCTTTGGTGACTTTAGAGTTAAAACGGAGATTCAGTGATGGACAAAAGGTATTTTCTAATTTAAATATTGTATAAATAGTATTTATGTACACTTATATAATACTATATAATTATATATAAATATGTATTAGTGCTTATATTTGTGTATAATACTGTATAATTAAATACATTTGTCAGGGTATAAGGGTGTACCTACATTGCCAATGTATTATAGGCCACCATGAAAGTTTGGCATTTTCTTCTCTTATTTTCCTGGTATATATTATTAAAGATTTCATATACAATTTCATAAAAAGTTATACATCATTATGCATGTACTGTACATGTACAGCTAAAATGAAATCAATTTTTTGTATTTTTTCTTACTTTTCCTCGAACAGTTGGGGTATAAAGTCATTTTTTTTGCTACTTTTTCGTCAAATCACGAACTTGCAGTAATTTTTTATATTTTTAATTCTTAATTCCACTATTTGAAACTTGGGGAAGAAGAATTTTAAGGATTTTTTATTTGCATTGTAGCTGGTATGCATTTTTATCAAACACCTGTTAATTTTGTTGGACTTAAAAATAGAAGAAGCCGTTTATATTTTAAAGGGAAAATAATAACAGTAGTTGATTGTGCTAAAAAATTCATATTCAGACGTTGGCCTACTATTTTTTGGCAGAAATTCAAAAATAGTCAGATTTATAAGTGGTTATTGACAAAAAGCCACAGTATCAAAACTAATCGAAATTTAGCCATTTTCATATAAAGATAAATTTGAACGAAAACACTGTTCAAAATCGGAAAAATATTCAAGTATAATATACTGGAATTCCAATATAATATGCTGGAAGTTCATATACAGGTGCTCCAATCTCTAGTATATTATGCTGGAACTTTATGCATGTTGGAGTTCCAGCATAATATGCTGAAAGTTCATACATAGGTGCACCAATCTCCAGTATATTATGCTGGAACTTTCCGTATTGTAGCAAAATAGTGGCTATTTTTCAATGACTTTGCAAACGTTGGCTATGTGTCAATTACTAGTCCGAAAACTGGTTAGCCCGTGCTATTTTTACCTATTTTTTTGGGGAACATATTTACAAAGTTGTAACTGGGCCACTTGGTTGTAATATATGTGTATGAGTTGTACACATGTAATTATCTCTAAAAATAATACTTTCTCCGTCCTAATTTATATGAAGGTGTTCAAATTTTGAGCGTCAAACGTGTGTTTTTTACCTAATTTTTTTTATATGCCTTTGATATATTTTGAAATATTAATTATTATGATTCATCGTATTTTTAACGTAACTTTTTAAATATATAAATTTATTTTTAAATAAAAGTTTTATATTTAAATATCCTACCAAAATTAAGAAATTTGAATCTTGAAAAGGAAAAGTATCACATAAATTGCATATAAGAGTACTAAAAACAAAATGGAAATGACCAAAATTAAAGGGCGCGCTATTTCCCGCGAGAAAAATCTCGCATATTATTTCAACTACTAGGGTTTCAAGGCAAAGATTTTTTATTTTCCCCTGACTCGAAAACTTCTAGACTCTTCATATCACAATTCACAGGGTGGAAACTCATCAGCTTCGAAACCTAACAGGTAATTCGCTCTTGTTTCTACTTTGTATATCTATTCCTTTTGTCATTTCATCATACGAATTTTGCTCTACGAAGTACGAACTACAATAAGTTGCTAATATCGTCGTCTAAGCTTCAGTTTTTAGTCCTGCGATTGAATGTTGACACCTGTATCTGTGATTTGAATTTCGGAGTAGTGTTGTTCAGTGAATGTAGTTTCGATCTTTCTTTTTCCTTTCTATTTTGCTGCTTTTGAGGAAATTAGGATTTTAGATGATTAACTATGAAATGTGTTTTATAACTCGGTTGGCCTTTTAGTTAGTGGGAAAAGTGATGAAAATTGTTAAAAGAGGCAATGAAAAATTTATTTACTTGAGCTCTTTATTGCTTACCGAAAGATAAGAAGATTTGAGGAAGTTCTGTTAAGGTTGTTATAACTTGAAATCTAACAGGGACATCTTGTCTTGTTTGTGACTTCTAATGATATTTACCATGAAGCCAAAGACGGACCCGTTGTGAGGGGGTGGGGGAGTGGGGTCTTGGGTGTTGCTTGCCTGGTAGGTGGGTGGTCAGGTCTATCACCGTCTATGAGTTATCTTATGGAGTTGGGAACTTCTGGTGGGTGCTCTAGAAGATGGTAGTGATAGTACAGAGGCTAGCCCCTGGAGAAAAAAAGTGATTAACATGGACAATGAAGGAAATATAAAGGTCACGAACTCGTCTTAGGAAAGGAGGAAATAACTAAATCAGAAATTTAAATTTTGTATAATTTCCTTTCACATTAGCATCATGGAAATTGAGTAGATAATTTTAATTTTTCTTGGCTTTGAGTGCAGTAGTAAACACGGGACAAAGTGTTGAAAGGACAGCTCATGTGCTATGTATTGTTAAAGTGCTTACCTGAGCATGAAAGAAAAAAACAAGTTGCTCAATAAAATAAGATAAAACTTACTATATTATTTCGCATAATTAATAGCCTAAGTACTTGAATCGGAGTAATATTGAAGCATGATAATCAAGATCAGATGTGTTGATAATTTTTGTCAAGATTAGGTTTGTTTTTTTAAATGATAAGTGTTTTTGTCTTTTTATAAGCAAAATGAATACATGAAGTTCATGACCTAAAACTGCCTTGTAAAGAGATTTTCAGAAAGGGAGAAGGTGAATAAGGTTAAAGGTTCTGGTTCTCCTCCTTCCTATTGGTTTAGTTAGTTTATTTGATTTGCCCTTCCTTCTTTTTGTTTCGATCTCCTTCATGTTTTACCCATCTCAAATATGGCTTTCCTTTTCTTTTGCCTCTTCATCTTATAGCCCCATCTTCCCTCTTAATTCTGGGTTTTTTTCACTTATGTCCATATCTTTGTCTTGATTCATCTTTCGTTAACTGTTTCTTCTTTATTGAATTTTATATTACCTTTTGGGTTGAATCTTCTTGTAGGACACTTTGGGTTTGCAAAACTTCAACTATTTTTCTCTTATCTGAATTGGTGCTTTTATATTTGCTACGCTTTCTTGACCCCTGCCCCACTCCAACAAAAAAAGAACTTGGGTTATTGCATTGTTGCGTAGCAATAGTTCTACTAATTGAAGTATTGATAGCTTAGACTGAATAGTGCAGTCAAAATGTCAAATGCAATTGTTGTTTCTAAGCTGAATGAACGAATGAATATGCTACTGTGTGTAATTATGGATAGAAATGGTTGAAAACATAGTTTTAATCTGCCAAAACTTAACCTTATTCGTTCAACTCGTTTCCAAATTTTCCTATTGCCTTTTAGAGGTATGGATACATCAAATCCTGCTGTCTTTGTCAATGCCGAGCTCCTCCGCTCGTATGTGGGAAGGAAGGTTCGAGCTGTGGTTCAGGTTATGCGCTCTGATGGTGGTACAGTGATTGGGAGATCTACAGACGAGCAGCAGATAATTGTGAAAGGCAATCCCCCTGGTCCTCTTACGACATTTGTTGAGGTCATAGGTATCGCTGACAGTAACCAATCTATCCGTGCTGAAATATGGTCCAACTTTGGGGACACTCTAGGTATCACTTTAAATCATTCCATTAATAATTTTGATAATGTTTTATCTCACAATGTCTGTAGGTGGTGGAATCTTTATGATTGCTTTCTTTGTTTGTTTTGTGTTGGTTCTGCACTTGCTTTAAAGTCATTAACTACAAATGATCTCTAGCCTTTTACCTGCAAAAATATGCTGAAAGAAAAGCCACTTAAAGTTACTTTCTTCTAGATTTTCTTTCCTAGCTAAGATTACATCCAAAAAGTTCCTGTGAATTATTAGGAGTATTTTAAATCATATCTTGGTTGGAATTATTGTCAGCTCGCCTTCTATATTTAAACGCTATTGGATTGTGCAACAGGGATCTGTAAACAGATTACTAATATATCTGGTTGTTGAGTATACACTTGTCCGTGAACTTGGTCATCTTTAAATCCTTAATAGTTTGCAAAAGGATCTATGCTTAGGTACCTAAGCTCCTCATCCCCTCGGAGAACAACTAGATAAAGCTTGTAGGAATAACTTTGTTCTTTTCGTCGAAAATGGAAATCAAATCACCGATGGTTTAATTTGATTAATTTGGAAGTGCAAATGAGTATTGATACAAGTCTTACCCATCTTCATGGATTCTTATTGCTACATCTTGTTTGCTTGCTATTACTCTGAAATTTCAAAGGAATAAATTCTGACATGCCTCTTTTCCGTATTTGCAGATACACATAGCTATAACCGTGTTTGCTTGCTGGCAAATGGTGATTATAAACACTTGTTCATATGAGGAGTCGAAATCGACATGATGTAATGGATCCTAAGAAGTGATCCAACTCTACTTTTATACATGATGTCTGTGAATACTTGTTTGGAAGTATGTTGTTTAGTTTGGGATGATTTGTTACGTTCTGGTATATGTTTTTCAGAGTGAAGCTGCTGAAATCCAGAACTTCTATTACTTGCATTACATTTTGACTGTTGCTAGGCAGTGTAAGCTTTTTGCTGATTTGCAACTTCATATATTGATAGTTGAGTGTTGACAATCGAGTATTCCTCCTGTTTGTTTCGGGGGGAGGGGGTGGCTCAGTAAATGGCAAGTATGTTTGCAAAATTATATTGTTATCTAGGGCTTGACTCTTAAGCGCACTGTTTGCAACTTGAAGATTGTAGTGGAAAAGGAATAGTTCAAAGGAAGTTGGATTCTTTATTATGTTTGGATATTGTATTCTGGTAAAAAATCATTTCCTATTTCTTGGATTGTAATTTGGACACAAAAAAGGGAAAATAAATACTTGGGAGATATCTGCGAATTCCTTTAAGGTCCCTTTGGAGGTGGAGTTTTATGTTATATATCAAAAACCACAAGCCCAAATCCCTCGTACCTGTTTGATTATACCTTAGTTCAATGAACTCCTAATCTGAATTCATAGGCTGACTCAGGCCTCATTTGTTTGCACTTAATGGAGGTCTGAATTGCACTTAATGGAGGTCTGAATCTTGATCATTCAGATCTCAGACGTTAGTACCTTTGTTTTTAAAGTCTGAATCTTAATTATTTAGATCTTAATCATTAAGTGTGTTTGGTTTTTTTTTACCTCACAACCACTTAATGGGTCTGAATAGGTCGGTATGATTAAGATCTATAATAAAGACTTAATTTTATTAAGATGCTATCACATATTCATTATTAACTGCCGCCACATCCTATCATTATCAACTACTACCATGCCACCATCACCACTATACTCAGCCACCACCACCACAACCATACTCAACCACCACTACTACCACCACTATACTCAACCACCACCATCACCACGCCACCATTATCGACCATCACCATCCACCATCCCCACCACTCCAACTACCATCATTCTCACCCACAATCAACACTCATCCACCTCAACTACCACAACTAACCACCCCATCACCATCAACAACCACAACCGGCACTACCGATCATTATAACCTACCACCACTCACCCACAACCTTCCTCAATCACAATTACTACCACCACGCACCACCACCATGCTCAATCATAATCGCCACCACTACCAATCACTACTAGCTACTAGCATGAACCACCATCATCAACCAAAACTACCACCAACCACCGGCTCTAGTCGGCATTCACCCGTTAGCCATCACCACCAACAACTATCATATTTTTAAAAATTATATATTTTATTGATAGAATATTAGATTAGTTAGTATTGCATTTGAATTTTATGTTTATTAATTTTCAAATAAAGATAAATTTTATACATTTAGATGTTAAAAATCAAACAGTCTTAATTATTTAGTATTCAGATCTTAATACACATCTTAATATATTCAGATGTGCATTCAGATTCAAATGTCTTAATCCTAATATACATATTAATATTCATATGTGTATTCAGATTCACACTATTTTGTTATTTTGCATATGATTATATTATTGCACTCCCTTTCACTTATTTGGTCTATTTTAAGATATTATTATCACTTCTCTTGCTTCTTTTGTTGTTACATATCTCTTCTTTCGTTCCTTTTCTGAAATTATTATCTCTTAAGTTGAGCCGAGGGTCTCCCGAAAACAGCCTCTCTACCCTTCCGGAGTAGGGGTAAGATCTGCGTATATTCTACCCTCCGCAGACCCTGGGTATGTTGTTGTTGTTGTTGTTGTGCTTCAAGGTCTGGCCTAGTTAACTAGTTTAGAGGAAAATATCCGTCACTAACATTTGGTTTTGTCGTCTGAAAGACGGCGGAAGAGGAGTTATAAAAAATGTCAAACTGCTACATTCAGTTTTAAATTGAACCAATTCAATTCAAATTGCAGAGCGGTTGTTCTAATTTGCGCCGTTTAACCTCAATGAATCTGAACCTCCATGAAATAGTTGAGATGGTGTTTAAATAATGGAAGAGGGCCAAATATACCATATACTATCAGAATTTGTTTAAATTTGTTCAAATATGTGTTATACTATTGGTTCAAATATACCCCTCTTTTCTTAAGTTTATTCAAAGTGGACATCCAATCCTTCATGGCACTGACATTTGATAAAGTGGATGTTACATGGCTTACCACCTCAGCGCCCCTAATTGATTTTACCCCTCCTTTCTATTTTTCTCGACCACTAAAATTTTCTTCCCCTCAACCACTATTGCCACCATTACCGCTACCATGAAAACATTGTATTTTAAATTTTAGTCTTTTATAGGATTAGAGCGCTGAGGTGGCATGCCATGTGACATCCACCTCATCAAATATCAGTGTCACGTAGGATTGGATGTCTTTTGGATAAACTTAACAGAAGAGAATATTTGAACCAATAATATTACGGTAAAAGTATATTTAAACCCGAAGTATAAAGAAATATATATTTAAATCTTTTCTCATAATATATATGTATATTTGGCCCTTTACCGTATACATATATATATATATATATATATATATATATATATATATATATATATATATATATACGCGAAGAACAATAATTTCCTCCTCTAAGATTACCCTTCTTCGCGTTCGCACCCAACTCCTCGCGTTCGCATAGTAGAATTTGGCGCTGAGGGGCTGTGACTATTTTCTTCTTCGCGTTCGCGTCAGAGCCTCTGCGTTCGCGTAAGCCCCTGCTTTTTACTCTCCGAGTTCGCGTCCGTTATACCGCGTTCGCGATGGCCTTTTTCTTGGCAGCTTCAGTTCCTTCTTCGCGAACGCGATTGTCCTTCCGCGCGTTCGCGATGCACAAATGACCTGGGCAGAATTTAAAACCCAAAATTGTGGGTTTAGGCCATAACTCATATTTTGGACTTGGGAGCTCGGGAGATCACGATTTTTGAAGGGATTTTTACCTGGGCGACTTGGGTAAGTGATTCTTACTCTGTTTAGACTAAATTCCATGAATCTTCACTCAAATTCATCCTTTAATTTCGAAATTTTGGTAGAAATTAGAGAAAAAGTTCTTAGACCAAGAGATTGGGTTTTGATTGGTTTTTTTGACCTCCGATTTGGGAGATTCTTATATGAATAGACTCGTGTGAGTGTGAGGATTCCGAAAATATAAATTTTACCCGATTCCGAGACGTGGGCCCGAGGGGCGTTTTGGTCATTTTACCTAATTTTGCGTATTAGCTTAGAATTAAATCGTAGAATCAGTTACTTGAAGTGTTATTTACGATATGCAATTGAATTCAATAGATTTGGGCCATTTGGAGTCGAATACTCGTGGCAAAGGCGTGATTTTGGGTTGATTTGAGCTTTATTCGAGGTAAGTGGCTTGTCTAACCTTGTGTGGGGGACTTTTCCCCTTAGGAGTGATATTGTGGTAATTGAAATGCCTCGTACGTGAGGTGACGAGCGCGTACTTGTGCTAATTGTTGGAAATCCGTTCTTTTTCATTAAAAATAGCCTTGAATTGTGTTCTTCCTTTTCTTGCTTACACTGTTTGGACATTAAACCTGCTGTAGCTTAGAGAAACATGTCTATTTGACTAAATTGCTCTATTTGCCTTAACTGCCTTAATTGTATTACGTGAATTATGCTAGGTTAGGATTACCTGCTTCACTTTGATATGAAATTGTTTGGATTGAATTCTTGTTGTTGCTGTGTATTTACTTTGGGACTACGGAACGGTATTCCGGGAGATCCCCCTGCACTTTTACTTTGGGACTACGGGACGGTATCCCAGGAGCTCCCCTGTATGTTTACTTTGGGACTACAGAATTGTATTCAGGGAGATCCCCCTGCACATTTATGCGTTGGACTACGGGACTGCACCCGGGAGATCCACTGGAGATGATATTTATATTTGGGGACTACAGGACGGTATCTTGGGAGATCCCCGGTTGTTATCTTGGAGCTGAGTTGTGTTCTCTTACTGTGTTTTACTTGCCTCTATGATAGTTGTTGCTGTCTTTTATATCTTGTGTTACTTACTTACAGTGTTATTTCACACTGTTAAACCTTATATCTTATTAAACCTCAGTAGGGCCCTGACCTTCCTCGTCACTACCCAACCGAGGTTAGGCTTGGCAGTTACTGAGTACCGCTGTGGTGTACTCATGCCCTTCCTACGCATGTTTTTCATGTGCAGATCCAGGTACTTCGACTCAGTCCTACCACCCTTGAGGCGAGACGACTGCTATAGCGACTTCGAGGTATATTTGCCGCGTCCACAGACCGAGGAGTCTCTTTCTATTCCTGCTGTTTAGTATTAGCCCTTCTGTATTTCAGTTCTTGTTATTAGCCCTTCTGTATTATGTATTCCTGCTGTTTCGTATTAGGCCTTCTGTATTATGTGATTCATGGATTTCCGGGTCTTGGATTTATGTATTGGTTTTGAGAATTAAATATGGTGTATGCCGAGAGGCACATCCTACCACTGTTTATTTTTCTTATTTCTGTTTTAAATTGTTTACTTCCGCAAATTTTGGTTTCTTTTCCGCAATTTAGGCTTACCTAGTTGTAGAGACTAGGTGCCGTCACTATGGTTCATGGAAGGCCAACCGGTGTCGTGACAAGTATATATATATATATATTCTTACCGTACTACTTTTATCTTTGACATTTACAATCTTCGAATCCTTGAGAAGGAAAGAGAAAAATCTTCGAATCGAGTGACTTTAACATTTACAGCGATTGACGAAGAGCTCACGGCCATGGAAGCTCCACGAGGTCACGTACTTCTCTCTTTTTCTGCCATAGTTACACATGCATAACCTCTGAAACCTCCATTTCCACTTCCTCCAAATTGACAGAAAAATTAGCTGAAAACAACAAACAATGGATAACTACAAAATATTAGGGTTAACACGAAGCGCAAGCAAAGAAGATATTAAACAAGCGTTTCGAAAATTGGCAATGGAATTTCACCCCGACAAGCACGCACATTCACCGCAGCAGTTAAAGGAAAACGCTACTCTCAAATTCAAGCAAGTTTCCGAAGCGTACGAGACTCTGATCGACGATCGCAAACGCGCCGATTACAATATTCATCAAAATAGTTACCGAAATTCTGCGAATAATTATTATAGTGGTGGTAATAGTGACAATTATTACCGTAATAGTTATCAGAACAGTTATAGGAATAATCACGGTTATGGATATGGGTATAGTCGGCCTGCAAATGGGGGTTCTGCTAGCGCTTTTACCAAATTGGAGATGGTTATGCGGTTCATGAACACGCGCGCGTTTCTCCTCAATGCTGCCTTAGCTGGGTAATTCTCCTTTCCCGTTTGCCCTTTTTCCTTTTAATAT